CAGCAGCATCCTATTCACTTGCCGCTAATGTTGGTTTTCTATGGATTAAAAAAAAACATTTTACGAAGACATTCTATAAGGTGCTACAAATTATCTTGCAATTATCACAGAATTTAATTGAAAAGAGAATAGACAAGCTTTTTTGGTATTGTTCCGTGCGTTATACAACAATGCGTTTTGCTCAGAACGAAGGTTAACACCAAAACAGCATAATAATATGACTTCTTCTGCTTTGCATTCGTTAAAGCTTTTTGAAATGTTTCCATATGAACGCTTGTTTGTTTCGGATGCGTATATTAATGTGACTGTATTTATAGTACCATGGGCGTTGTATGGTTCTATGTAGGTATTCGTATTGTTCATGACCACTTATAGATCGATGTTTATTGCCGTTCGGGGACGTATATACCATTTTCTTTGCATACGGTCCAATGGAGTGTTTCTTGCTTCTATAATAAGAAACGTGTCCTGACACGTCTCAACGTCATGCGACTTGCCAGTTCTTCGACGTCTCGACGTCTATGGCCTTTCGTACGCGGAGTCAATCTCGACGCAGTTATTCAGTTGACCCTTTTTCTCTTTTAGAAGGGGCGCATGAATGGGTCCGCCCTGTGTGGTCTGCCGTGAGTTAGCTTTCATTGTTCATGGTCTTTTATTTTCACAGGTACCATTAACCCGTTTTCTGGCTCGTTTTAGTCAGTTGCTGCGACTTTGTTACGTCGTGCAAATGTATCATGTGTCATTTTTGCTAGCAATGCATCGAGTATGACACATCTTGTACTTTGCATATTGCACAGACTGAGTTTGCATATTCTGTTCCAGATAGTAGACGCTACAGCACGTAATTTAATTGTGTAGGCTTCTTCCACTATAGTTTGTATTTCTGTAGTCAGTATTATTTAGTTATGCCTCTTAGAATATATACAACCAATTAGTCGTATTAAGTTCCTGCGGTGATTTTCACTGAATATAAGACACTACATTTTTTACTCCTTCGGAAATAAGTTACTACGTTATGCATCTCCCGTCATCGCTCACGATGTTCTTGTGCCTTTCCGCCAAGCGATGTGTGCTGTCTCATCTGAACATAGCGGGTTTCGTCTCGAAGATGCTTTTCAATCAGGTTTTGAGTTGCTGAATCATTTCAAATTGTCAATGGTAAAGCCACGAAGGTGATCTCGTGAAGATCTGCCGGGACAACGTCGGAGGATATCGGCGGTCCAACAAAACCTCCCATTCAAAGGCCAGGAGGACGGTCTGGATGATGTTTGCCGTGTGAGACCTCGCGTTATCACGAAACAGGACAGTCCAACCATGCCTGTCAGGCCTTTTCTATTTAATAGCCTGGTTGACTCTAGGCCAAATAAACGTACTGTGCCTGGTCTGTAAGAAGCGGGCTCTCAGGGGACCAGACCTTTTCAGCTCCACTAAACGCAAAGCATACTTTAAGACGAGATCGATTTAATTCCTGGGCCTTGACTTCTTTTTTGAAACCGCCCATTCCCATGAACATCGATGCCTGCTTATGTTGTCGTACATATACTGCTTCACATCACCATTGACAATTCTGGACAAGAATCAGTCACTGTGGCCACGGGATATTCGATACTAGGTGGGGAATGTTGAGATGCAACACTAAGCCATGATTTTCATTGGATCCAGAGAGCTCATAGGCTACCCCAAGCTCCAAGTTCCTGCGTAAACTTAAGACTCTACGCAATAACGACGTGGCCTGTTTCCGGCCGAGTATTGAGTCATTTCCTAGCCATCTTACTTCTAACGAAGCTTTCTGATGGTAGGGGTGTGGCATCCTTCAGATGCCGAATACCATTTTCAGTCTTAGCAAACCATTTTTGACCCGTCCTTTCAGCGATAGCCTCGTTACTGCATACAAGAAAAATGCACCGGGCTGTTTCTGCGGCGCTTTTGACCTTGACAGCATGCTAGCACTGAAGGTGTTAAAGGTAGATTTTGTTCATCCTTTTTGAAATATGCATATTTAAGTTGTTTCGAGTTAAAACTACACTTTCAGCATAATGCCGTTACAAAAACTCTAATATAATGGAAAAAGCGCTTTCTAACAGTATATCAGAGGTAACCACAGGTGAAGAGCAATTGGTAAAGGCAGCTTTTGAAAGAACGTGATTATTCCGTTTAATACAATGAATGATTTGTTCGCAGCCGGGTAAAGTGAACTTTGCATTTTTATGCCATATAGATTTTCGTCACTGATATTAATGACTGGTAATTGTCGTTTACCCCCTGATCAGAATAATCGTCGTCTCAGTGCTTAATGCTATAACATATATTTCAAAATTCAAAGCAAGTCGAGCTTAAATTGAGAATATTATGGCTAGTTCACTATGCATTGTATTTTTTCAATTTTAAATATTCATCTTTATTTAAAAGGACGGTGGATTAACAGAATTATTTGTTTTTACCAGCTCTTCCCCACGTCACTAGTGAAAGCACATTGGTCTCAATGCAAACAGCGCGAAGTTCAGGAGGAGAAATTTCGGACGAGGAGGTGGGATCGCCTTTTGATGGGCAAGGCCCTGCTCAAGTCCACCAAGGCCCTATTCGCGAAACAGACATCTTTCCATCTACTGAAGATAAGGATGCGATATTGACACTACTGGGCCAACTGAAGCTTGGCACTGATTTGACTCGTGTATCTTTGCCCGTTTTTGTGCAAGAGCCGCGCTCACTGCTAGAGCTCTACGCGGATCTTTTCTCGTATGCGCCGCTTTTCGTTGCTATTTCCGATGGCAAAACAGATGAGGATCGCATGCTGGCCTGCATCCGTTGGCTTTTATCAGCACTGTTCGCTACCAGACGAGTACGTACTTATGATTTTTACCTTTTTGAAATTTTATTATTATTATTATTATTCACGTCATTATTATTACGTACGTATTATATTATTGTCAGAACTGACACCGAAAGACAAAGGCAAATACAATTAATGAGATAGTTGCTCCTTGATATAAGTAAGCAGTGTTACACCATCATACATAGCTTCATATTAATCCGAGTCACTCAGTTAATATACGGCACATAGATGTATTTTAGAGTTTGTGGTTTATATAGCTTGCCTCTCATGATGTCTATTAGGGACTGGTGGCTCGCAAGCCGTTTAATCCTGTATTGGGGGAATCTTTCCGGTGCTCGTTCAGGCTTCCACGCTCCGTTGAAGACAACGGAAACCCTCCGCCCAGGGTCACCTTTGTCGCCGAACAGGTACGACATTTTAGTGGAAACCTAGGATACTTAATTCGTTTTATCTCTATTCGAGTAGCGGACCGGTAATAGTAAGTCACTTTAAGCTGTTTCTGAGTGCCTGCTAGCTAAGTCTGAATGATGTGTGCTATGCAATGCAGATTTTAGAATGCTTTTGTAGAAAAAGTAGTTTTTTAGAAGTCAAGCGTGCAAGACTTATTTAAAGACATGTTCGTTTTACAGTGTCGGACTCTTTATTCTGTGCGATGCCTCGCTTTCCCGCCCGGGATTTACAGGTCAGCCACCATCCTCCGAAAAGCGCAATCTACGTTGAGTGTATCGAACGTGACATGAAATGCGAAGCATCATTGACCGTGAAAGCTTCATTCATGAACATGTTCGTTGGCATCGAATTCCTCGGCTCCCTTGGCGTCGAACTGATAAATATTAATGAACGGTATGTGGTCACACTGCCCCAAATGGCATGTCGTTCTCTGGTCTCACGTCCCTATTTTGAATTTAGCGGAAAAATGAGGGTGCGTTGTTCGAAGACTGGCTGCTCTGCTACGATCAGCTTTCCATCAAAGGTCTGTTGTAGAAATTTCTACTACTAATTATATAATTGATTGACATTGAATAGACAACGCCAAATTAGATCATTCGGCACACGTAAACTACTAAGTAACTGAATGCTTATTGTTTTGATATGTTAACCACTTTCAGTTGCTATATACGTAGATAGATCTAGTACTCCTATTAGTCAGTACCCGCATAGAGATAATAATGCAATTATCGTTAGATAGAGAAATAGACTTTTCATTTGTTGGGCTACTGTCTTCGTTTACAGAAAGATTCAAATTGGAGTGCTGACTACGTTGTGTTAAGTGAAGCAAGAGTTACGATATTTTTCTTTCGTTATTACTGTTATTGCTCTTGAGTTGTAGTACAAATACGTTATGTTGGCGTTTTCACCTCGCCCAGCACAACGTACCTTGATGTGACCCGTCTTCACGGACAGCATCATGAAGCGTTGCAGTTTTGCGAAGATTTCCAATCATAGCCACCATTTCGACGGTGCTTGATGTCTAATGATTCGGACGCACCTCTTCCGAACTCGATCTCATCTATGTACAGCTTTCTTTCTCTATTTTGGCACTTCTATCGCATTTTGCCCTCTCTTGTCTATACCTGATAGCTATATCTATCACTCGGTGTTGCCGTGCCAACAAAGCTTTTATAGGAAAAAATCAACCTCTTTTTCATTCATCATAGTTGTTCCATCGCTCTTGGCTGTGGTAAATATAGGTGGATCGGTTAGCCTTGAGCGATACTGTTTCGCGTTCAGCCTCCTCGTACTCGGAAGGAGCTATTGTTCAGCCGATTGCCGTTGCTGTAATAACAAAGTATTGCATTCTGACGTATTATGTTTTCACAGGATTATGAAACTCAAAAGATGCGCTTTCCCCGAAATCTAGCAATAGGGCAGAAACCGTGATAAGAATTTTTTTTCCAAGAATCAGTGGTGAATTGTTTTGTATGCGTACAAGTCGAGTTGGTGCTATTCAGCAAGATTGTCGCCGGGAAAACGTTAGTGGAGCAGCGACTCCCTTTAACGCTACCTTTACCCAAGAAGAAAAAACCTGGTTGATCTACACATAAAAATACTCAAGCAGCACAATGTTTTATTTAGTCGATGGTATCCACGTTAGTAGGTGAACCGCATTTGCCATCCATTACACCATGCTGAAGCAATATACTGAAACCCGTCGCTGGCTGGTATGCTCGCAGTCTTAGACGATTTCACTTGTCCGTATTGTACTAACTAGTATTATAATTTTATCCTGATTGTCGTTATCGTTGATCGCCACACTTACTCATGTTGTCCCTATCTGGCATATAGCCCCGACGTAACTAATTATCAATGAATCACCGCGTATGAACATCCCTGCTTGTGTAATATGGGCCACAATCGATACCGTTTATACTTTAGTCTATAAAAACTATGCTCTCTCGGAGGCGCAAATCGATACTTCAATTCTTGTACATGCTATTTTGTCGCCTTCGTAGGACGCTTGCAAGCTTGCTGGTTGTTGTCGTTCGCGTCGTCGACAATATTGCTGTTTCCTGTTCTCTTACCGTTTCCAATTTATTTAGAGTTATCAAAGATGCTGTTATTACTTAAATTATAATTATTCGTCTCATACATGGTGTATCATTATGTTATTTCTACCTATTGTTCTCCGGTGGCCCGTCCGATTTGATTGTTGATATTGCAGCAGCTTGTTGTTGGCCCGGAAAAGATCACTTCTTCCACTTCTGAGCTTCCTACGGCCCCGGACCCGGTTAGTTGGCTGAACTTTGTACTTTCACTACTACCACCACTCTTTTCTATTGTAGATCTCGGCTTTCATCGCTCATTTTCTAGCGATTCTCTCAGCGAGTAGGAGTTGTTTTTGTTGTAGCTATAGCAGAGCTGCTAGTGATTTAATTGGCACTGCATTGCTTTACAGAAAGTTAGTAGCCACTTACGCCTCTGTGTGTTCTTCATCAGCAATAATTGGGTTGGTACGTTCTACTGCTTCGGTGTAGTATTAGCTCTTCATCCTGGCCTGCTTTATGTACCAGTCCAATAAAATTAGATTCGAAAAACACGATCCCACTACATAAGTCAATCGTGTTCGCTGCCGACAACTGTACGTATACGTTAACTGTGAAATACTTCAAACCTGCCAAATACATATTAAAGGTGTTGGTTCATGGCTGCCTTACCGCCAGGCTATGATGCTACAGATTGCCGCTTCCTCTCGTTTACACGCACCAACGAACAGCATGTTGTTTCTCGAAGAAACGTTGACCGTTTTAAGCCGATATTGAAACAAACATTGCTTATATTCATATCCCATCCCTGTAAAACTTCTGTGGTTTCTGGGCGAAGAATCGTCGTAAGCGATTTTTACATCCTTCCGTTGAAAGGAGCTTTGTAAGAAACCGAACGAAATTTAAACTATACCGCAAATGCATCGATACTTTCGAAGCAAGTTCGTTCATTTTTTGTCGGATATATATATAGATGTAGTATGGCATTGTCATTGTGGAAAACGGCCGCTTTTTTGTTCATTAGTTTCAATCGTTTATTCGTGATGGCCTATTGTAACCTTGTTAGTTGTGGGCCGTAGAAATCCGAATCAATGGTTTTGCCTGGCGGCAGGAGCTCATAATACACGATACCTTTCCGATCTCACTAAAACCTACTGTCACTTTTTTGCACCAGTATAGCCTTTGCCGCAAATTGTGGAGCTTACTTCCTCGACTTTTTTATTTGCACATCATTGTCATATATTTTTTATTAGCGGTAGTCAATCGTTTAACCAGTTGCTCCATCTAGAAATTAGATCAGTAAGATCTTTTTTCAATAATTCTATCAACTTTTTCCTAATTGGTCGACAAGCATATCGTACATCGAAATTTCCAAAACTACAACGATTAAATCATTTTTGGGCCGTTTCTTTCGATAACGTATCTTACTTGATTATAAACAGGACAACATTTCCTATAGGCCTGGGCATACCTGTACCATTATCGTGTAGTGAACTTTTGCAAAAATTTCACTAATTTTCAAAGTGCTCCAAGTTAAGTTTGAATCAAGGACACCTAATCATGACTCTAAGGCTATCTAGTCATAAGCTATTGGAACGGTCGATCTTTTTTTGTTAGTCATGTATACGTATATCGAGTATTACAATACAATCCAATTACAGTACGCCTAATAGAAGCTTAATCTCGAACCACGGAAGCAGAAGGTTATCGTCGGGATTTATGATGGGTTGTTGTTGAACGCACCCGTCTGCATGGTTCTTGATTGCTGCACGAACTATCGTTGTAACGCAGCGCATTACTCACGTAAGAGCAGAGCACTTAATACGTAGTAGATGTTGGCTGAATATGATTTGGAGTCCGGCTGGTAAGGATACGTCTGATCGAACAAAGCTGTTCTTTGTTCGGACTGATATCGATTTCGAGCAAATATTCGCTTACCCATATTCACTCCACTACCACAGCGGCAATTGATATCAGGTTTCGCTCATTTCTACCCTGTTCTGTTCACGAACTGAGGATACTGACTAGCAAAAAGTTTCGTTTAAACACATCTGTAGTTATCTCTTAGCTAAAATAATTCACATTGTAGCTCTTAAAGCATTGCCTTCTAGACATAGGTCAGAGTAAACTTCAAGTTCAAAGTACACTTCAACATTTACGTCTGACAGTGCCATAGGCATCCAAGGCAACTAGTTTCAGATCTAGCCTGCAAATTGGGAGACGACACCCCAGCTTCAAGCCAATCTACCGTTGTCATATCATGAGCAGGATTGGAAGTTTGCCTTCCAATTATCGTTTATGATTACCTCGGAATGATCGTTTGTCAAAAATTATGAGACGATAACCGACCCTTCGGATCATTGATCCAACGGCTGTTAAACGTCGTTGATTTATCGTTTCAAGTATATTTTAGCCAATGCCCAATTGGCTCGGGGACTTTTCACCCTCAAAACTTGAATATGCGCTGCATAAGTAACAAATGAACATTATATCTTATTAAAATCGAACTTTTAATTCCTGCAGACAGGATCAACGGTGGCTACGAATGCAGCAATCTAACCTGGTCTTACCAGACCGAATTTGCTGTCGGGTGTGAGAACGGGCCAAACGGAAACTGAAAGTTTGCTGCTCGAACATGTGGCATGAACAATAGCACACCGCCTGCTAAGGGGCATGCTGACCACTGCATCGGCAGCAACTCCACGTGGGAAAAATTGACAGTCGGAAAAACAGAACGCCTATTATATCAGAGGGACTCTAACGTAGGCAATGTTCAGAATAAGCTATTCAAAGAGAATTGCAAGACAGTGCTTCAGGACTTATGCTAACTTGAATAATAGACATTCTACACCGTTATATAACAGCTCGTAATGTATGGCTATGTGTGTTGGCACTCGACTAACGAGTTACGGCAATCGACGGGTGCCTTCCGCCGCACTTACCAGTCCGAGCACCGAATAAATATCTGCTTCGGTTGAAATGCAATAGGCAGTACTAGGCGCTGGTCCAACCTACATGTGAACTTGTCGCTGTACCACTGAACTAGTTATGGTTAAACAGAGTCTCTATAATTCGTATTTGTTTTTGTTTTGCGGCGGCAAACGTTGCTACTGGATGTTTTTATGTTCCGGAAACAACTTGCTTCGATGGGATATATAATAGCCATTCCACGGCGCTAAAATGCATGGGGTTACTGTGGAAATGCGCAACCGGGAGAACAATATTTGCCTTCGCGGACAGGGGCATTGGAACGAGAGTGTGTCCTTTTCGAGGGAAGCCGGAGATCTTCAACATCACTTCGGTAAGTGGATTGCCATTCAGTTAATTTGGACCATATGTATGACTTCGGCGTTATTGTATCGAAATGTATGTTACATTTATTTAGCATTATTATTATTTATGTTAATGATAATAAGCTGGGCTTTTTATCATGGGCAATTTATCATCAAAGTGTTGTTCTAAAGCATTCGCGGAAAATTCCAAGCGTACATCGTGGAACGATGTCCCAGCCATATCTAAACCAGTTTTTTTTTATTGTTCTTCGATTCTAGACCATTACTAGAGTACCATTTCACCTAATGCTTGTCCAATATTACCGAAAACCAACATTTTTTGGCAGGGAATCAAACATTTTGGAAGTGGATAAGGTGCGGCTTTATTTCAAGCAAGAAATTAAAGCTTACAGATGTTCCATGTCCTTAAGGTAGATGTACATGTTCCATGTTCTTTGCCATGTTCCATGACACTCGTATTGGGTAGCAAGCAACGAAATCTCAATTAAGTTAGTTATAGTAGTATTTCCAATTGTCTGTCATTTCTCTATTGGTTTGCAGAATTTAACATTCGCTCAAAGGAACAGTGCTGTAAACGAGTGCGCCCTCTCGCCGAACAAGATGCCAATGAGTCTCGGCGAGTATGGGCACACGTGTCACGGGCACTGCAGCAGGGCGATTTCGAGGCGGCATCAGGCTATAAATTCCAATTAGAGGAGACCTATCGGAAGATGAATCAAGGTGGCGACCAAAATAAAGATAAGGTTTCAGGAGGAAGCCGGCATGATAGGCATATGGCGAGCTCTCGAGCATTCGAACCAAAACTTTTCCGCTTAGTTCGGCGTATGGAATCAAATTCGTCTCTCTGTGATTATGAATACAAGCACGCCCTGCAACAACAGCAGCAGCCGCCGATCCAACAACAGCAATCGAGTCCACAATAGGACTATTTCTTCGTTGTGGCAGTGAACGAACGTTACGACCGTATATATGTATACTTGAGCACTGAAGGAAGTCTGCACCTAAGGGCAAAAAACGTATATACTGAGTATCAAGGAACAGATCCGCAGTAAATGAGGTGGATGAAGAAGATACACTGCACGAATAGGCTGTGTTTTATGAGACTGTACGGGTTGTAAAATAACAAATCGTCGGAGTTCTTATGAATCGAACACGATGGGTGCACGTAATGTATCGGTCAGTGTAGGGGGGCGAGACATATTACTAAATTCAGCTGTATTTTCGTGTGCGGTAGTGGTGGCAAATAGTCGTCTATAAAATGCTGATTAAATAAGGCAGCTGCATATACTGTTTTGAAATAAATGGCTGTTTCCTTTACTCTACCTCTACCAGTTCCGTCGTGCGTTTGCTTCGCCGAGATGAGACCCCCGATTACAAAGATGTTTCGATGAGCGACGATGTGGCGGCGGGCTATCGTCAGCTTAGGCTATCTGTCCTTAGACGGAAAGAGTATCCCTAAAAAGAAAAAGTACAGTGAAGGTCATTTGAGTGGCTCGCATCAAAACAGAGCCCGGAGCAACTTTTATTGTAGCAATATTATATAACAATAATTACAACGGGAGTAATATCAATAATATGGGGCGCAATATCAAAATATTCATTGCAAAATGAATGTGACTCTGAGTCTGACGGTTTTCAGAACTTATCTCTATCTAAGCGGGATAACTGTGAATAGAGGCGCCAATAGCCACGACTGGTCATGACGGGGGCTAGTATAATGTGGATTCAGGTACGTCAGTGTTCGGGTTGGACAGGAAATGCACGATGCACGTAAGAAGAAAATCGTTACCAACAACTGACGAGATCGAAGGCTAACACTCGCCAGCCGATCGAACTGGATCATAGTGATGATCGTGTTTACTTAAAAGCTTCTAACAACGCAGCCTTGAGCGTATCGCTGTTTGCTATGCGATACGTCGACGCCTTCGTTATAGGTACCGGTAACTGTAGAATTAAAATTTTTCCTCAATGGTTGCCATAAATTGCACCGCTTAACCTAGAATTGAACGTAAAAGATAACCCAAAGTGCTCTAGCTTAACAAATGTCGAGGTTATGTGTATTAAATTCCTGTAATTATATAATTCTGTATTTTGCCAGCATGCGCCTTCATGACATCGACATGGCATAGATTTTTTCGAGTTGCCGTTAAAAAATAATAATGTTATATATTCATCCATGGTCTATATCAGTGCTGATCTCGTGCGTTCGTTGACAGTTACCGACCTCAGTCAGCCTGCGTAGCCTATCATCGCTGAATGGTGATGCAGTGAGCTGAAAATAACGAGCCTTGTATAGGTGTTTCACATTGGCAACAAGTAATGACCACCTGTAAGATGGCCAGTTACTTCGCTGTGGGCTCCAAGATAAATGGAGTCTCGTCCCTTTGCCAGGTTCACGCAGGTTGAAAGTTTTTTGTTTGTTGTTTACATCGAATTACGATATTTTCGATAGTACCCACATCGGATCTGAAATTTTTTGGAGTGAGCTTGTTCTCAACAACAAATAATATAATATTCCGCCCACAACCCGCAGTTATATTCAATTGAATGTGATCGCCGTAATTATGTGCTACGGGTGTTGGCAAAAAAGAAACATTAAGTAATTTCCCATTAATTATGAAATTATAAATCCTGCCAGCTCCCTGGTAGTCAATTTTCAATAGCGCAGTATGAACAATGTAATATTGGCAGAGTCTGAAAGGTTATGTTACAGACGGAAATAAGAAATGTCGCGTGAACTCCGTACGCTCTAGTCCTCACGTGTGTGCTAGTGCCTTTGTCTGATCTGTGTCTTTTATGATCATCTAGAAGTTCTCGTGTTTCTCATATGTTGTCGATGAGGCCGCACCCGTGAGGAGTGTACGTGAACACCATTTAAATTTTCTCGTCACCCATAGATGACACGGAAATATACGCATCGCTGCGTTGAGATACCAATAAGTTATCTTAAATACAACTCCCATAAACGATGGTACAAATGTAAGTTAAATAGAACACTTCTTTTTGTTAAAACCCTAGAAATGAAGTAACATTACACTAGTTCTAAGGGAATATGCGTGTGGCATATAATGGCTATGCGATATGCGCAAGCGGCTAACGCTCAATCAAGTGTGTGAGTGAGCGTAGGACAATAACAAGGATAATGTAACGTATTCTTTGGTAGACAGGTGGATTTTTCTGCAAAACTGGGCCTATCGCGTACTGTTCTACATTCATATATATATATATATATATATATATATATATGGATTGCAAAGACAAATAATCAAAATGGTAATACTTCGCGTTGATATTTAGAAATGGAGGTCATCCATGATTGACTTGATTTTCTGCAAGGACAGCAAAACTGCGTGCTGTTTACATACACCTGGTAGACATGCATATAAACATACGCTTACTGTAATATTTATGACGCAGAGAAAGTTATGCCATGACATAAATTACGATTTATGGCGTAAATTGTTACGAGAGTGTTATGTTAATAGAGAGCCCCATTGTTAACGCAAGCTGACAAGAATTATTATTATCATTATTATGCAATTGAGCCACGAATGTATTACTGCGGTTACTGGTAAACGGCGAAAAAACAAGGGGGAAAACACAAGTAAAGAGACGAAAAAGTTCAACTTACCCATCAGCCCTTTATGTTTGTTTGACTTTTCAATGGGTTAACGAGAGCTGGACGGAGCAATTTAGTTGTTTATCAATACTGGCACCAGCGAATCATCAACTCTAACTACTATGAAAGCCTAGTTGACAATTTTTAGATTAATACTGATAAATAGTTAGCCGGTGGCAAAGATGATGATGAACGGGTTGTCGATACCCTGAGCTATGTCGCTGCCGTGTAAAAGAAAAGCAGAAATGTGCTAGAGTCTGAGCGAAAGAGGAGTGGGCAGATAAGTTTTACATTTTAGAATGTATCTTTAACGTCGAGGCTCAAAGCTCTGCCTAAGCATTTGTTGTTGCAACGGCTATTTTTGATAGTGACGCTCCTATGAATAGGGGTTCGACCCGACTCGGTTCGCGCGGCAAAATTTCGCATAGGAAGCCATAAAAACGCTGTAGGACTTGACGGTAGGTAATGCTACTATATCTTTCTTTTACCATTAGGGTGTAATGAGGTAGTCGACGGAAAAACGGTCAATAAGTGCATCGAGAATATGGCAAACCATGGAAAAAAGAGACTATGTAGGAGAGAAGCAGAGAAATGAAAGAAGAGATCATGGAAACACGACCTTTCTATTACTGACGAAGGAAGAGAAACGTTGTTTTTAATCAAAGAAATATATTCAGATGATAATATAATGCTTGTTGTAGGGACATAGCAATACCAATAAGAATAATAAATCTAATTAATATTAACAAAGTGAACTATTTTTTGCTATGCTTTATTTTAGCATATACAAATGGATTGAAGTAATACCTAGTTGGTGGAACTTCTAAATATTGGAGAAAAAACTTTGGCTTTCACATGGACCATAATTGAAGAAACCGCTTCATCCATAGGAGTTTCTAATAGTTTCTAATAAGTAATTTGATACTGTTTTCGATTACGTTTGCTCTAGGTTCTGGCAGGACTATAGTGTTACCTTTCTGGAAAGTGCCCATGCTGAACATTCCTCGACTAAGGAATAAGATCGAGGTGTATAAAATCAAGGTTTCGTATGTTCTATAGATCGCTTCTATAAGCCTTGAAGCGCTGCTCTTGATGTATCAGTTACTTCTTTGTATTGGGTTTTGATAGTACGTTTTAAAAGCTGACCACGAGCCTTTCCGATCATGTAATGATCATTCAGCGCATAAAATACCCAAACATTTGAACGTTTGGCGTATCCCTCGACATACGATATATATAATCTCAAAGACTTTTTTTTTTTTTTAGTTATAATACTGACATTGTTCCCGGCAACTTTTAATATCCAGAATGTAGATCTTTATCTGTATTCGCCCCTAGTCCCGTTAGTTTTATTCTACTTAGTTGGAGTGAGTTGCGGAGCACATCCCTCTGTCCCCGCACATCACCCTTTCTATATAATGAGTAAACAATTCGCGTCCGGTGACTGTCTAAGGCTCAGCGTATCTTGTGGAAAGTCTGCGTCGGCTACTTTTATTCTTCAGGTAAAAAAAATGTCGCTCCAATTTTCCCGTCGTTTTTTTATGTAGCTCCGCATATCAGCATCTTAAATAGAACATAGTTCCTGTGGCAAACCAAATCAAAGGAATATTAACGGATAGCATACCAAATGGATTTCAAAATAGACAATGGGTGCCACAATAGAATTCGAGTCGACCAGGGTAGGCTGCACCAATGTTGGCCTGTACAATGCACCGAATTAAATTGATCTCATTAAACCTTAACCTAATAGAATGATAATTTGTGTTATAATACTTTACGTTAGTAGCAGTAGTAGTGGTTGTTGTATAATGATTAATGCTTTTATACGCAAACTCTTTAGAGAGGACAAAACATTTTTGGTTTCGATATTGCTGGCCACTTCTGAGTACGAAGTATGAGAAGTGCACCTTGAGTGCCGTTTTCCTTAGTAGAATATTGGAATGCTAGATCGATACAGACTGCTTCTGATGAACCCTAGCACTAAACGCTGTTTCCCTCTAGGACCTCCTAAATACTTTTCCTCCTAGGACCGATACTGTCCGCATTACTATCTAGTTGAATACTTTACTTAACAAATCTAACTGCACCGGCTTTCGACAGAGCTACGATGTGTTAATCAGGTCCTTCATGTCCGGAAATTATGTTCTGAATGACTTAAAGGAAATTAGTCGTTATCGCAAAGTTCATTTATGCAACGCAGACTTCCGCATATGCCAAAATTAAATTGGTAAGAAAGTAATTGAGCTATGATTTTTAATAGACGAATTAGAAGTAGCGATTGCTACCTATAATCTCTTTATATTTCGTCACCCAAACACTGTTATAGTAATAGCTTATCGAAGATGTGTATCACTTCACCTTCGCCAAACGAAAGTTCATATACGCAAACGGCCGTACAATCCGGTCGATTGAAGATATGATTTAGTTGCGCGTGGGAATAAAGAATTATATCGATTAATACAGAAAACTTATTTATCAGTTTTCCATGGTGTCACACTATCGAACTTGCTGCACAAAATAGGTTTATGTATTTAGCTGATCAAGGCTATGCCTAATCAAAGTTCGTAGTTAAATATCAATTTTGATCCAGAAAATGCTCAACGTTAAACATATGAACACATGTGTCATTTGTAAGGCCTTATCAACGCATTAGTTAAACTGTAAGCATTACTATTAAGATTGTTGCTTAAGTTGACTGCATTCGACCTAGGAATATAAGGACCTTTACGATCCGTAGACAATACGTCTGAAAATGAAATAGAAGCTGGTGTCGATTTTAAAAGGCTTTTATTTAATCGTACTTGCTGCTGCTGCTGCTGCTGCTGCTTACATTTACAATGACTAGACGTTCTTGCAACTATAACGTATGGACTCGGACATGTTTGTCCTTTCGCCTTCGTTGCCTTCCTCTCAGTCTTTATCCTGAAATTCAACATCGGTTTGGTAGAACAATTCAGGCCACACCCCGATTGGTTGTTCCTTTCAACCTCATATCTGATCTGATGAATTAGAGAAATTATACCGTAGCGATTGCGCCATTTGAGTGGAATCAGATGCGGTTTAAGAGCTGGCTGAGAGGCAGCAGCGTCTTAATAAACTCTACTGGCCCGCTAATTGGACCGATAGGGCCTTTACATATTTATGCTTAGTGAGCCAGTAGGGTGGTAATTTTTCTACCTAACCGATTTGCCTTTCTTAGTATGTTTCTTCTTTTCGAGCCATTCTCTTCCCTCTAAGTGCTTTGTGTTTTCGACTCCATCGTTACCACATATTGACTGTCATAATAATAATAATCATCATCATCACAATAATCATGGCCATCTTATTATAATATTTTCACCGTTGCTAGTTGCTATGTACACGGACTCCCTCGAAGACGGTGTAGGAGGGGAGCATGCCCAGCTACAGACATGGCGGCGACGCTTGACCAAGGCTGTAGAAAACTCATCAGGTGCGTGATGATGGCATCGGAAGAGATGCGATACGTTAAGGTTGAAAATTAGGCGAGGCCTATTTTCTTGAAGCTAAATTTCTGGTCGACCCATATATTATTAAGCGAATCAAGCGGGTGGTCCGTTGGAGAAGTCACGTAGCTCGATCATATTTGCCCAGACATGGCGTTTTTGATGTAACATGTTATAATACCGTGAGAAGTCCGTTAGTGGTAGCCAAGGTTCCAGGTGCAAAAGTGAACGATAGCTGCTCAAAACGCTCTTCACTCAACTAATGCAAGCTTTGCTCGTTCATCGTGAAAATCGTTCACAGCAATCGTTTGCATAGTTTGTATAGCGTGAGGTCTTTGTGCTATGGCAAGGACCTCCGAATGGTAAATGAAATTGCTTATATCGAGATCGCTTAGGATTCAGCCTAAAGTAGATCAACAGTTACATTTATTAATTTTTTACATCGGTTGGCACTTGGGTTCAGATGCGGTGGAAAAAGGACGTTTCAAATTGCTGAAGCAATCGCACCGTCTGTAGCCGGTTAACTTCAGTTGGACAATTGGGCAACCGAAGAATTCTGTAACCAGTGCGTTGCAGGACAAGGCCAGAATTTACTTAATAAGGGCTTGCATCTTGCGTAGCACAGGGAGCTTATACTTTTTAAATTTATTCCGTATGTGCTTAAGGCTAATTGTGACATCTTCGTGTTCCCGAACTTAAAAGCAACTGGCATTCCCTGCACATGATTAGAAACCGTGGAATCTCTGTGCTTGTGCAAAACGCAACCCGTCAATCTAGCGAAGTTGAAATAACACCGGTATCCCCGGCATGTTTTGGCACTGTGGGCAATCATCATTTTGTGTGGACGTGCTGATGGTGGAGCGGTTTTGCGAGCCTAACGTAATATTATTATTGCGACGCTTTGACGAAGTACTTCATTGAACCCCTTCTTGATCTAAAATGGCGACGGTAGGACGGAAACAAATTGATTAAAAACGTGTGAGTCTCCTCGCGGCTGAACAATGGCCGATGTTGGAACAAATGGCCAAAAATTTATGTACGTATTTCGGAGCTTCGGTTCATCGGCTCTGTCTAGTACAAGCGCAACAATTGCGAACCAGAAAGAACTCTATGGACAATGTTGGCCTAAGCGTCGCCAAGGAGTGAGAACGTTCACATATCATACGACCTTAA